ACGACGCGAATCTGTTTTATCGACGCTAGAAAACTACGTAACCGACTGCGAATCGCGAATTCCCATCGATTGGTAAGTTCTCCTCGATGCTGCATGTGTTTCGTTGTAATACTCGAAGATGACACGACTTCGACAAAAACAGACTGTTCTAGAGAATTTAAATAATTGGCGGGAATCCGTGTATTTCATACAGTACGCCCGTTGACTCCTCGATTTCATTTAACGATCTTGAAATGAAATTTCAGAAATTTAGTCGATTACTTGAGAAAATAATAATTATTCTCGATGAATGCTCGCTTTGCCTATAGATCCATCTTGTCCACAAATATTTCTCATCCCAGCTATTTATCGTTTTGTACAAGACTCACGAGATAATTCCTTCTCCGAAGAAGGACACAGCGTCGATGAGTTTTCCATGGGTAATTTTGTATTTGGTCAGAAGGTCGATGTCGTTCCACGTGAGACTCGCGTTCACGACAAATCCGCCAAGTTTGAAGTCTCCCCTATTCACCTTGTAGTTGGACAATCCGTGTGCTTTAATATTGTCCAGCGTGCCTTCCAATCTGCAAATGGAAAACCGTTTTGCAAATCACGCGAAACGTCCGAAAACATTTACGCAAAACGATCGAACGTATTCCTACTGGACGAGTTTGTGGTTCAAGTTTAAGTCCACGTGGTCCACTTTCAGGGGGTCGAGGATAGGTATGCCGATTTTCGAATCACCTTTCTTCAGGGATTCCTTCATCTTCTCGAGGAAGCCGACTAGGGCCCCTTCGCCGAACGCATAATTCTCAGCCTCGATCAGCTCTGAAAGCATCGAAGAATGATCTTACATCGGTTTCAACTTCCAAATTACACTTTTTATTCGAGCCCGAGATGGATCTTGCGGATCAGTTGCGATGAGAATTAAAAGAAAACAGAGATGTATTACTCACGTTCCAGGCTGCGTTCGCCAGGCACGAATGCATGACAGGAGACCAAGATCACGGCCAGCGCCGTCAGGGATCGGTACATTTTCCTGAAAATCAAATATCGTCGATCTAGGAGGACGGACTTTACGTTATTGTCGCGACGGCATTCACGCTAGAACTATCGAAGCAGTCGAAACGACTGGTTCGTAAACTCTTATAGAAACGATTAAAATGACATAACTCTGTATTTTTGGAAACTCGACGCAGCTTTTCTTGCAGTATATAAGCGAAGAAAACCGTATATAAACCGTGTTTTCGATATGCAATTAATTTGTCGAATTGTCCCTTTTACCAACCCGATAGAAATAGAGTTTATCTTCGGTAGTTCTGGTGTTGATAAACGCAACCCGTCGATGATTCGTCGAACGAACTATACCCAGGTAGCACATGACGCCTTGAAGACGCCCATTTTACGGCTATTTTAGGTCTAAGGCGTCTTTAAGCCGTCTTCAAAGCCTCATTGGGCGTCATGTGGTATCTGGGACAGCATAATAATTTGTCGGTAACGTCTGAATTACGTCTGAATTATGTCTGAATTACGTCTGAAATATAATATTCGATTAAAAGTTTATCCGGTCGCAAGAGTTCGCTGATTTTCCGCGGTCGCGACGACGTGGCCTGCCCGCGGTTTAATTGAGCGTGAACGGTCGAGCCGCGATTGTTTTTGACAGATTTTCACCGCAGAGTTTCACTGACTTCTGCCGGTCTGGCGTTTAACGCGTCGTTAACCCGTTCGCCCGAACGAGCCGAATCCAGGGTCTACGGTTCCTGGCTGCGTTGCGGTTTCGTAAACGAAATCTCGTCGCGTTTTTTTGTTTCCAAAACCACGAATATGTACACGAAACAAAAAGTTCCGACTTATTTTCTGTGTGTATCGACTGTATCGGTTGTGTAATATACGCTACGGAAATGTCTTGAGTCTCGAGAGCCCTCGAATCCTCGAGTTCCAACTCCCGAGAAGTGCAGATACTCACGATTTCGGTTTCGAACAGTTTATTCGCGCACAGCGTACTTCTGAGTAGTAGGCCGCGTTGCTAATGGTCTCATTTATATATCGGACTCGGTATCGTTCGCCGTGAACTTTACAATCATTATCGAGATTCACGTTATCTGGACACGTTCGATTGTTTCGATTGAGCGAATCGAAGAATCGATCACTCGAGGTTCGATGATTGTTTTTTCTTTTTATCTGTTTTTTTTTTTTATTATTATTTTGTTTGACAGATTCGTCGAGAGAACGCGAGACGTTTCAGTGGCGCGTGCGCGATTAGGGAAAGTACACATCCTTGATGGGCTTAAATTCCATGTCTTCGACCTGGGTCAGTGACGCTGCTACGCGAGAGATAATCAATGATGTTTACGATCGATCGTTCCAGATAAATCGTCACCTGGAGTATGCTGCAATCGTTTAGCCTCCTCGCGATAAGATTTATTGTGTCCTCGTTGGAAGATATTGATACAGATTTGTAAGATTAGTGTTATGTTTTCTGAACACTAATTAGAGATTTATAGTTCGAAGAGTAATCGTTCAAGATTTCTTTAAGATTATCGAACAATCTTCCTATCGTTTTTTCAAACATATTCCGTTTACACAGTGTCGTTAATAAATTGCGGATTCTATGAATTTATGGTATATCTCATCGTTTGAGATTTGGTATATTAAGAAGCTCAATGAATTTCAGTACGGTTCTCATTTTATACGCGAACTGACAGACCGTCGATACTGCAACGAAAATTTCTATATATCTCTCGTTTCCGTGAATAGATCCTTAAACATTGATATCTGCATAAAGATCCGCAGTCCGATCATTTATAGTTAAATTATATGTGAAATATCAACCCGAAAATGTAGAATGAAATGGGGCTGGAAAAAGAAGAATACAACTGAACGTACTCTTCGCGGTAGAAGGTGTTCTGGATCTTCTTGATCATTTAACCACGGTTAAAATCTTAACTCTTCCAATAAAAATAACAATGCTTGGTCGTCCATCGTCCCTTTTGAAGCTATTTTCCAAACCACATTGTGCGATCAAAACATATTTTTAATGAACATTTACTAGTTTACTTTAAAATAACTATTTATAGAAAGTAAGTGTTGACACAGTTCTTTGTTTGCAAACCAACTTACAATTCCCTGCAAATAATACAAATACTTTTGCGACCTACTCTAAAAGTTAAGTCGACAGTTAATCCCAAAATTAGCTGCCAAATCAACAATTTTGCGAATTGCAATATAAACTAAACTTCATTTTATTCATAAAGGATAGTACTTTCGAGAAATACAATTAAAAAAATCAATTTTTCCTAGTCCCCTTAATGGTTCCTTCCCGATCGAATTATTAACCCCCGCGAAAAAATAACCCCCCCTTCGGAATCGTTGACGGACCGTGTCGCGGGGAGCAGAATGGAGGCCCCCGGTATAAATGGACGCGCCGTGGCGGTCGGGATGCTCTTAAAAAAATCAAATTTCCAATATCGTCGCGTCACCAGGAGAATTATTTTAGCCCCCTTCCGCCGATCGAACGGTTTCGGGGACACGTGAGATTTCGTTCGTCGGAAGGTATGTATAAAGATTCCCCTGGCGTTTCGCTGCCGTCGGTTTTTATTCTCGTTTTGGTTAGGCGGTCTGTGCAGTGGAGACCTGTGTCTCGAATTTCTCTCGGTTCACCCGTTGAAAACCGAGGAGAAATCTCTTCCACGAAACGTTTCTCCTCGTTTTTTCCCCCTCTGTGATCATCCCCTTGGTGGGCTGTGATTCATCCACCCAGAGCCTCGGGTAGGTACATATGTATATCGATAGAGGTTTTATTCGCTGGTGTCCACATTCGTTCGCGTTGCTCCGATTTCAGGCGTCCAATAACCGTGTATTTACGCCATGACGATCGATAACTTGTCCCCGCGAATTTCATGGCCACCGAAAATAGCCCTTTCGGATTTATGGAAATTCATGCTCCACACGCCTCGCGTTCGAATAATCACCGGCGATGGCATGTGTGTACGTGTGAGTTGTTTGCCCACGATGGCCCACAGACAGGTGTTTCGATCGGTTGGATGGATCAGTCGGGAAATTCAGCGGAAAACTTGGGCCCAATGGGGCCCGACGTAGAGGGAATAGATTTATTAAATTTGAATTTTCTAGTTTTTCTTAGATTCGTAGATTTTCGTATCGCTGTTTCATGTTCGATTGAATCGGTAATTATTCCTTCGACGTTGAGAATATTCTCGCAAGGACTCCAGGGGGAATAAATAAATCGCGAACTGCGTCCAGGAATCTGGATGGTTTAATCAACGGTTCGCGGTTATTCGGAACATCGATTCGCCGAACTCCCGTCTCGGTAATTCATTAATAAAGTTTTTATTGCCGGACGATTAAATAAGCGAGTGTTTGCACGGTAGGGCGAAGGCTTTTGCCCGTTGTTAACGCTGACCTGAATTAACTGTAACGATAACAAGGATTGAATGACGACAAGAGGATGCGAACGAAGACCGAGGGGAAATCAAGAACCACGCTTTTTTTTTTTTTTTTTTCGTTTTCGTGTATTATCTTTCGCGTTTGCAACGGTAATAGTCGTTACCAGACTGGAGATTTCTCCTGCGAAATGACATTCTCCGAAGTAATTTCGTAAAGACAAGAGCAAACGCTGGAATCTTCCCTTAACCATGAGTTTTCAAGAACTTTATTCAATCCTTTATCGTAGCATCTATCAATCCATAAAATCCTCAGTCTATGTCGTTCCCATAAACAGTTCTGGAACCTAGTAATTCCAAATAGAAAATACCTAACAAAAAAAAAAAAAAAAAAAAAAAAGAAACCTTAAAAACTTTCAAGGAACAATATACTCGGACAATAGGCAGGTGGCGACCATAATTGAACGGGAGTGACAAAGAAAAATCCACGTTCGACAAGATTCTCGATCGTCGTCGTTCCTCCTATGCCCCTTAATTAAAAGCCACCGCGAACCATCGAACGTATACATATAGGTACTCGTACCTTGGTGTGTTCCAGAACCCTTAACTCATTACACAAGGGTCGGTGCGTTGAGGAAACAGAGCGGTCCGATAGTGCTCGGACGTGTGCCATCAGGTTCCGATATTACTTTCGTCAGGAGAAACGGTGGGATCGCGGGAGAGCGCAAAAGAGGGGTGTGACGAAGATGAAACGAAGGACTGTAGAGGGGTTCGAACAGAGAGAGAGATAGATAGAGAGAAAGAGAGAGTGAGAGGGTTGGAGGGATGATAGCGCGCGGAGAAACACAAAAAGGAAGAGGGAGCGAATAAGAGACAGAATACGTGAAACAGGAGGGGAGGGACTGAGAGAGAGAGAAAGATCGAGCGAACGGGTGGAGGGAGGTCGCGGAGGGTTGCGAGGGTTGAGTGGGGTGAAAGCCGAGAGGGGATGCCAGGCCAGTTTACCCTTACTAGCCGCGGCTCGACTCGTCAGTGCGGCCTGAACGGTTAACCGGCCTACTTCTATTTCGCACGATTTTTTTTCTCGTTGCTCGTGATCTGCGTCGTCGTCGTTGTTCCGTCGTTAGATTAGCCGTCGTTTACCACGGTGTTCTCGCGTACACACGGTATATAATCGCTGTCAGAGCCGTGGAAAGATTCACGCGGGACTCGTTGCCCTGATCAGTAAAAAGACGGAGACCATAGATATTAATCGGTAGAGCTCTTTTTGTTTTTCTTTGGTTTCGTTTGGTGGTCGCGCGCGCGTCTCGTGCCTCGGTGTGCCTGTCCTCTCGACACTGTCTCCGATCAGCCGATAAACAATACACACCTGATGAGAAGCCGTTGAACGAGGGAAGATAACGGAAGCAGGAAAAGAGAGAGACAACCCCTACAGAGTCAGGGTCATCGAGGGTAGGCCAGGCGAGAGGACACCAGCCAAGCAGCGATCAGAAAGAGTGACGGAGAGAGAGAGAGAGAGAGAGAGAGAGAGAAGGGTGTACCAGCTTGGTCCGATTGAACGTCATCACCTGCTAGCTGTCTCTCTCTCTCTCTGTGTATGGGCTCCAGCTCGCCGTCACCTAGTCGCCGAGCTGGACACTGAAGCCGTCGGAGCTCTGGCGACTCTGTGCTCGCTCTTCTGGAAATTCGTAAGTGAGCTACTGCTGCTGCTGCTGTTACTCTGTCTTTCTCTCACTTTCTCTGTCTCTGTCTATTCTCTTTCACCGTAGATCGATCCCCCACGGCTGTCTCGTACGCCTCCCGCGTACGAATACGCTTCTTTCGCGTGTGTGTGTTCTACCGCTAAACATCTTTCCGATTCCCCTCGATACTGTATTCTCTACAGAGATACGAAAGATCACGGGAGACGAAGACTACCCATTTGGATAGAATCGAGCTGGTACCGGGATGTATTGTCTCGCGACACGCGTCACTTCCGGCCGGCACGATTTCGTCGTCCTCGTGGAAAAGATTCCTTGGGTTTCTAGACGACGATCTGTAGAAATTTCTTGATGTTCGTTTCACGATCCGTTCCCACATCGAATATTTACAATTGAAACGACTGATTTGTGTTTAAAGAGTTGCGTTTAGGGGTTTCCTGCGCGACGCAGTGGGTCGTAGTCCTCTCGCGTCTTTTACGCTGCGTTCGAAGGCGTGTGCGATTAAATATATAGTAAATACTCGATGAGTGCTCGAAGGCGCATTGTTAAGGAGAGGTACCCAGGTGTAACGATGACTTTTTAATGAGGTTTAGCACGGTGTATAGAGCTTGGAATTCTGTAGCCAATTATACCGTAAATCCTCGATGAATATTCGAAGGCTCCTCTGAGTACTGAGAAGGAGCGGTTCCCAGGTGAAACGATGATTGTTTTAATGAGGTCTGGCACAGTGATGAAACTTGGAATTCTCAAGCCAATGATATTTGTTTCAGTCCTATATGGCCATTAGGTTATGAAATATTTCATGTTCAGTGAGCCTTCAAACACTCATCAGGGATTTACTGTATTTCTCCCTCGAACCTGTTAGATAGACGCGAT